GGGGCTGGGGTGACCCCGATGGGTGGAGCAGGGTGGCTGGGGTGACCCCGAGAGCAGGAGGTGGGGGGGCTGGGGTGACCCCTAGGGGAGTAGTGTGGGGGGGGAGCTCCCACAGGTGCCCAGGCAGGGGTCTGAAGCCTCAGCCTGTTTCCATATAAATAACGAAGAAGAAATTAGAGATGTAACCACAGTGATTATTCACAGGCTATCAGTTATTCATAATCGTATGTATATATATTTGTATATACTCAATGTAACCTTTTAATTTTACTAACGATTCTCGGGTCCTGAACTGTGGCGATGAAGTCACATTGTGATGGAGGTCACCCTAAGGCAAGGTGCTCCAAGCCCTCTTTTTTTTTTTTTTTAATTTAATTTTTTTTAATACAGAGGAAATGGGGTTTCACTATGTTGGCCAGACAGGTCTCGAACTTCCGACCTCAGGGGATCCGCCCGCCTCGGCCTCCCGGAGTGCGGGGAGGACAGGCGTGAGCCACCGCCCCCGGCCCAAGCCCTCTTTTTCTTAGAAGCTAAGAATTCCTAAAAGTACCACACATCTTCATGTCTTGGTTCTTTCTTGACAATTTTGGGAAAAACTGCTGCTGCATTTGGTTTTGTCCTCGCGTGGGCCAAGTGAACGCCGGGCCCGTGTCTCCAAGACACGTGATTCACTTGACCGTATCCCTGACCACCAGTGACTGCCCCTCCCTACCATGCCCCTGCTCTGCACCCGGTAAAATCAGCGTCCTGGCACTGGGTGGCACCGCACCTGTTTCCGGGGGTCTTGTGTCTTTACTTCCGTCTTACGATCTCCGCAGCAGTAGAGAGGGGCTCATAGGTCCCTGTAGGGCTGGACCCTGCAGGTATGGCCCTGAGTGGGTCCCCAGGGAAGGAGGCAAGGTCTCTGGGGGTGGTCCCAAGGGGAAGACGATGGTTCTGTGGGTGGCCTCAAGTGAGTCCAGAGGGGAGGACTGGGGGTCTGGGTGTGGTTTTCAGGGGTGGAGCATGGGGTCTCCCAGGGGTCCGGAGGGTGGAGCAGGGATCCGGGGGTGCTACTTATGGGTGGGACCAGGCTGTTTCTCTTTTTGGTCTGGTTCCCATCTGCTGAGCTGGGGGTCGTTGAGATCCTGACAGGTGAGGCAGAATGTGGGGGGGTGAAGCTGAGGGGAAGGAAGGAATCTCTGCCTGGTCCCAAGGGACAGAACGGGGTTCCTGGTAGTTCAGATGGGCAACCATCTGTGGGGGAACGGACACCCTCAGACTCTGCTGTTCCTGGCCAGTGGCATGGCCTGGTAGGTCCCTTCCCTGGCTATACTTCAGGGTCACTGGGGGATACCCCTTTCCATTCTGACACATATTTAACAATTCTTGTGTAGATCTCAATGAGTTCACAGGTTCATTCTCTGCCTAGCTTCCACTCTAGTATAGATGGAAAAGGCACCCTGGGGTGATTCGAGGATTTTACATTTCATTGAATAAGGGGATATATATATATATATAT